ATGGTTGCCGAGTTGAAATACTCGGACAGACAGACACACACACACAAACAAATATGTATAGGTATATACATATTTGCTTGTGTGTGGAAGCAGAGTTGTTTTGCCTTTGATTTAAACGACGCCTTTTTGCAATATCACGAAATCAAAATCTGCTATGTGCGAGAATTAGGAAAAACTTGTGAGAGCTGTGAATAGAGGAGAGAACTCGTAGAAGCTGCAAACTAGACCTTCGTGCTTTTATGAGTATAAAGTGCTGGAAGCATTTATAAGGAGAATAAAAGGCTGAGGAAGACCTTTCAGTGAGCTGATCCATTAAGTGTTCCAGCGCCAAACGCCCTTTCGGATTGTAATGAACTTGTATAAAAATCGGCAGCAAACGCATGTCCTCAGCTTGTCCCTTTAAAACAAAAGCACCTCTACCAGCTATTAAATATCCAAAAACTGAAGAACTGATAAATGTGGATTCCGGCCTTACAAGAAGTGGTAGAAAGCAGATTCCGCTTCAAACTTGATTACCAAGAAGTGTTTAATCGGAAAATAAAGTAGTAAATGCAAGCTTTCAAGGCACTGTAGTTTTACCTATGCGCTGGCCTCGCCACTGATTAAACTAGAAGGCATACAATATGTGACTACAGCGGGAAAGGGTAAAACCTGGATATTGACTATCTGAAAGCACTGTGGATCGTCGGTCGGCTCGATCGTAATGTATTTATCGATGATTGACCGGTCGATTTCGACAGCTATGCAGTAGGCTTGATTCGTTGAGCATTTCACCACTGTTATTATACCGCGTAGTGCGCCTGTTAAAAGATTATTTCTTCACAGTATAAACTTCAGGAATTACTGATGGATAAGGTAGGTATGGATGCGGAATACGGCATGACTCAGCAATGGCCCTCACGGACTTGCTGCTGCTCAGTCTGACTCATTCTGGATTGAGGTTAACTAACTCCTTGTGTCGGACAGATTGCGCAGAGAATGACTAGCGACGAATAGCGAGTTGCTGCTTGGATTCAAAACGACGTGCAATAAAAAAGGTAATAACCATCTGGATTTCGGACGAGTGCAGAGCTGGACTCAGGAACACCATTCAGCTCGCTCAGCACATTGGCTTCCTTTGACAGCGTTCGATTTAGGAAACCGTTCCTTCTCATGGTATATACAGGCCAAACTAGAAAGTGTTCGTCAGTTACTTAAAAATTTTAGGACAATGCGTTGCTGACAGAGAAACGTAACGCTTGCTTCACCGAACACTCAGCGAGAGAGCACGAGCGCTCTTTTGGGCTATTCGGGAGAGCCAGCCGACCACCGGTCAACGGAGGCAACGATGAGAGCTCGGGTATGAAAGCTGCGCAGAGCTCGCTTGTCCTGAACACTGAACAGATGCGAATCAAGCAGGATGCTGCAGCTGGCGGTGTGCAGGGATGCGCCAGGGCGGACACCGCTGCTCTTGCATGATCATCAAACAAGTTGTGGATGTGTGCCGTGGTTCGGGAGTTGATTGGGTTGTTTGCGGTTTCATTGCCACCGCTGCTTCCAGCTGCTTGTTTGTTGCGGTGTGCAGTCTGTACTGGATGCGAGCGACAAGACCGCCTTACCCCGCTTCCCCGCCCGCCGCGCCATCATTTACGTCTGGAACCGGAAATGTCGCAATGACTGCATTTCACTTACATCAAAGAGCGGAGCCGCAGAGAGCACCGGGAAGAGAGCACGCCATTTGGAATAGATGCTAGCTGAGATACACGGTCCAGCAGCAGCAGCATGTCTCTCATGCACACCAGGAGCCGCAACCGCAAATTGGTCAGTAATGGGACAAGCGGGCGGGCCGGCCGCATTGTCATTACGATTGCGATTATTGTCAAAGTAAAGAAGCCCGCGGGCATCATCGTCGCACATCGCATCGCATCACATCACCGCCTCAACATCCAGAACAAAACCGGTTGCGAGTCCGAGCAGCACCGATGCCATTTTCGAAATGCACCACTAAGCAGGCAGGCCTTATTGCTTGCACACCGCCTCAGCAACTACAGTGCTCTTTCATAAATTACCTATAAATCTGCAGCCAATGGCTTAGCCATGCCGTCTGTTTCCGGCCTGAAAGCCAGACCAGGAGTAGACGTGATCTGCGGGACTATAAACAAGAAATCATCGGACTTACACGTTTAGTAAGCCAGGCTGCAAAGCACCAGGCATGCCGGTGCGAACACGTGTTTTTGAGCTGAACTTGAAACACTCAGATCGCTAACAGCAGTGATGATTCCTGCGTTGTGTATCCATTTTGCTGTGTTTTTGTCTTTTCCTACACACGGTCGGAAAAGGGTTCGGCTGAGATGGCAGTGTTGTTGCATCGTGGGGCTGTGTTATTCTCCAGCGTACGTGATTATCAATTTTGCATGAAGTTTAATCGTTTTTCCTGTGAGCTGTCACTCACCGAAAAATACAAGTTTGAAAATGCGCTAGATATCGGAAAAAGATTGCGAAATCCGCAATCACTTTTGAGCTTGCTATAAAATTGAGTGAGTATCCGCCAAGTTTTTGTGCAGGAGACACCACCACCAAGCTAAATTAAGACCACACATAAGTATAGTTTCAGCGTCACAGCTTGTCCGGCAAGCGAAATAGCCATTTCGCTGCAAATATTTTTGAAGTGCCTTAAGTCATGGCTCAAATGCAAATCGAAACTCAATTCAGGTATACGATTTTCAACATGAACAACAAGTATTCTGACAACATTTCAGCTACTGTTTTCCGGCTAGTTTTTAAGCTAGCATAGAGTACCAGCTGCAATCTTTGACGCAACTTTACCCGCGGTTTAAGCTTGTGCAATAGCTGAATTTGAAATGTTCAGCTTATAAATGCACAAAGAATATCCCTGCAAAGTTTCAGCTTTCTATCTTTTTTGTTTCATGAAATTGTTTTCCACCAAAGAAGTATGCATATTTTTTCCAGGGATCCGTACGCGAGATCTAGGCGCGCATGAGCGGAGACTTTAAAACGAGAGGGTAGCATATGAGGTGGGAATATAATTTCCGAATTTCAGCCTCCTAGCTTTCCTAGTTGCTGGGATGAAAGCGGATAACAAATTTCATTCGCTTCCTAACATACACACACACACACGGACTTCTTGAAAATATGCGATTTGCTTACTACAGTAGCGCCGTAGCGCTGCACAGCAGAAAAACATAAAAAGGCAGGTGAAAAGGACAAAGGCATCGGAGCCCATCGATCATACACCGCTTAAAGTTTTTGCTTGACAAAAAGCGTTTCGTGACGAGTTTTACCGCACTGACAGTGCATGAACATATAAAGCATACTGGAGGTATGCCGCTCCCACACCATGTGTGCTGCTCCCGTGAAGTGTCGAAAGACGATGTATTTGAAGGCCCCAA